ATAGAAAGTAGCATAAAATTTGTATAAATAGAGAGCGGAATTCAAAGTAATTCCATAGTTCTCATCCACAGAACTCAATAAAAATATAAGTTTCATTTAATTATTTGTTAGTAAAGTTTAATGTTAATTAAAGGTAATAGGTTCGCCCTAAACTTTAATTAATGTTCGCTTAATTAATTTTAATTGAATAAAATGGAAATTTAAGATGAATTAAATATACATTTTCAAAAAGTAATAATTCGTAGCGAGAGCTATCAAAGTTTGAAATTAAAGGTAAAAGTGGATATAATTTGGGGAAAATTTAGAGAAGTTAACTTTTATTTTATATCGCTTGATGTTTTATATTACTAACGCTATTTATGCTGTGAACCAAGAATGTTGTCGTTATATGTTGTTGTATGTTGTTTGTTGATTATATTGTCTGTAAATTATGCCGTTGATTATTTGCTTGTTCGTTTAATTGTTCGTTCGTTCATTCATTCGTTCGTTCGACCATGAGAATGCCCGTTCGATGTGGCAACTCTGTAAATTGATGACAGAGGGAATTGGAGGATCTCAACGTTAATTAAGGGAAGAACGTGGAAAAAATAAATGATTAAATAAAAGGGAAAAGAAAAAGTAAGAAAACAAGGGAAGAAAAGAAATGAAGGAAGGAAGAAAAACAAAGAAATGGAAATAATAGAAACGTCCACTACCGTTAGGCCAGCAGCAAACCTTACGCCAGATGAAAAATGGGGTTTGCTTTTTGATGTAACTTGTTCTTTGGAAATCCCAATGGAAGATTTTGACGAAAATTGGTGGCCGTTAGTTTCGAATATCTGGACGCAATGGAATTTGTACAAACAAGCAAATGGTAACGTTCGAAAAGATTTCGCCTGTCGTCTTACGAAGCACTGGGAATCGAGCTCACGACAAAAAGAAAATGTCTCTATTGAAAAGTGCCGAATAACGAAGACACGACCATCCAAATTATGTCATGCTAAGATTAGGGTGTTGTGGTTAATATCATTAGAAATAGTCAGAATCGAACATTATAAAGACTCACCCAATCACACGCATACAGTATTAGACTCAGATAGAATTAAACGCTCTCAAGCCGTTCGAATTTTAGTGGAAAATGAAGCGGTAAAAAACTATTCTCCTCCTGCGATCACTGTTACCGTTAGAGAATATGCAACTGAGTTAGATCTTGGTACAAGTGTGAGCGAGCTGAAGCGCAAGGAAGTATCTAATATTAAATATAAAGTTCATGGACCTATGGAATCACACCTTTTTTGCAATTCTGATTTATAATCGGATATTTCAGAATCAATATCGTTTTTGATAGAAAAAGGATACCATGTTGAAAATTACCACGTTTTTTATCGGTCCACCAAATCCACCAAATCCACCAAGGGCATTGTATTCACGCACCCAACACAGCTTGAAAAACTTCGGAGTCATGGATGGTTGACTCTTATCGATTCAACCCATAAGACGAATAAGTATGATTGGAGGCTTTTTACTTTATACGTTCGCGATACTTACGGATGTTGAAATGTGGGAGCTCACTTCTTTGTGAGCAATGAAGATTGTGATACTGTTTCAGAAGCGTTAAAAATAGTTTGTAGTAGTTTCTGTCGCTAGATTCCCCGTTATATTCTTTCAGATTAAAGTAGTATCAAGGCTAAAGCCATCAAGAAGGCTTTTCCTGAGATCAGTGCTGGTGAACAGGAGTGCGAAGTAATCTTTTGTGTTGTACACGTTACAAGAACGTGGATGACAAAGATTTATGAGAAACAAACTCGGGATGTTATGAACGCAGCAATGCATAAAAGAACAAAAATTGTCTGCGAGAAACTTGTGCAAGATGCAATCAATGATTGTCCTGTTCCCGCTATTCAAAATTATATAAAAAGGAATTTTATGAAAAATACACAACAATGGGGGTTGTGGGCACGCCAACATTCGCCGCTTCTTCTGCAGGTTACATCTACGAATCCGTTGGAATCCTACCACAGCGAATTGAAGAGATTAACATCTTCGTCACATGGATTAATTGGTATGCCTGCCTCTTTTCGTTTATTCATTTTCTTCCATTTTTCTCTTTTACTCACTCTTTTTCTTTACTTTTTTCTTATTTTCCTCTTCTCTTGCCGTTCTGTTCTTTTCATTTTCTCTTGGTTGTTTTCTTTTCTTTTACACTTTTCCTTCTTCTCTCCTTCCCCTTTCTTTCATTTGATCACTTATTTAAGGTGCTGTATATAATACTGTTGATGTTGATTTCAAAAAGATATCCGAAGCTGAAAGAGCTGCTTTTGAATTCCGTACAAAGAAAATATCTGCCTATGGTGTGTATAATGATATTATAGAGGAAATTCACAAGTTTCCCTTTCCACTTCAACATCTACTTGTTAAGGAGGCTTGTTCTGTGATGAATAGAATTGAAAAAGGTAAAGGTGCGCTGGGTTTATCCTCGCTTAATTGTCACTATCTGTTTCGAAATCGATATCTGCTACCATGCAAACATATTTTTCATGAACACATCTATGGAAGCACCAAATTATTGACCGTTGATGTATGGAAAGCATTTCAGGGAATGTTTGAAGAATGTGGCTATAAAATATATGAAAATTGCGAATCAGTGATAGAATTTGTGCAGACAAAACAACTAAAAGAAGCTGAAGATAGGAGACTTACTGTGGTGGAACTAACCGAAAGAATTCGTGATAAATACTGGAGTGTTGAAGAGAGGGGTAATACTGAGAAAACAGAAACTTTTATTTCTATGCTAGAAGCTTCTCTAAATCTGATTATTTCGAATTTTGATAAATCAAATTAAAAAAATTTAATTTTTTAGATTAAGTGAACGAAAATTTATTCATTATGTATTTTTTTTTGTTTTACAATTCTTTTTTTAAAAATTATCAATTAAAAATTTTTCGCTTAAGAATTTATTAAATTAATCTATTAAAAATTTCTATTAAAAATTTTTTCTATTTAAAAATTTTCATTAAAAAAATTTTACTAAATTTCTAAATTTTATTATTTGTATAATAAATATAAAATAATAACAATAAATATGTACTTTACAGAAACCTTGAATTTTTAAACAATACCGAATTGATATAATAATGATGTTAAATAAATATCGTGGCGATATCGATTTGCAAATGATATCATTATGATATCGCAATGATATCATTTCAATATTAATTCAATATATCGAAATGATATCGTAAAGCTGTTTATTTGAAAAAATATCAGATCGATATCATTTCGATATTGTTATAACAACAATGAATTTTTTGAAAAATGGGAAGTAAATACGATATTAATATGATATCGTTCCAACATTAATTCAATATCAATATGATATCGTAAAGATATCACTTTATAATTATCTAATCGACATCATAACGATATTGACGAAACATCAAATCGATATCATATCGATATTTCGATATTGTTATAACAATAATGAAAAATAGAAAGTAAATACGATATTAATATGATATCGTTCCAACATTAATTCAATATCAATATGATATCGTAAAGATATCACTTTATAATTATCTAATCGACATCATAACGATATTGACGAAACATCAAATCGATATCATATCGATATTTCGATATTGTTATAACAATAATGAAAAATAGAAAGTAAATACGATATTAATATGATATCGTTCCAACATTAATTCAATATCAATATGATATCGTAAAGATATCACTTTATAATTATCTAATCGACATCATAACGATATTGACGAAACATCAAATCGATATCATATCGATATTTCGATATTGTTATAACAATAATGAAAAATAGAAAGTAAATACGATATTAATATGATATCGTTCCAACATTAATTCAATATCAATATGATATCGTAAAGATATCACTTTATAATTATCTAATCGACATCATAACGATATTGACGAAACATCAAATCGATATCATATCGATATTTCGATATTGTTATAACAATAATGAAAAATAGAAAGTAAATACGATATTAATATGATATCGTTCCAACATTAATTCAATATCAATATGATATCGTAAAGATATCACTTTATAATTATCTAATCGACATCATAACGATATTGACGAAACATCAAATCGATATCATATCGATATTTCGATATTGTTATAACAATAATGAAAAATAGAAAGTAAATACGATATTAATATGATATCGTTCCAACATTAATTCAATATCAATATGATATCGTAAAGATATCACTTTATAATTATCTAATCGACATCATAACGATATTGACGAAACATCAAATCGATATCATATCGATATTTCGATATTGTTATAACAATAATGAAAAATAGAAAGTAAATACGATATTAATATGATATCGTTCCAACATTAATTCAATATCAATATGATATCGTAAAGATATCACTTTATAATTATCTAATCGACATCATAACGATATTGACGAAACATCAAATCGATATCATATCGATATTTCGATATTGTTATAACAATAATGAAAAATAGAAAGTAAATACGATATTAATATGATATCGTTCCAACATTAATTCAATATCAATATGATATCGTAAAGATATCACTTTATAATTATCTAATCGACATCATAACGATATTGACGAAACATCAAATCGATATCATATCGATATTTCGATATTGTTATAACAATAATGAAAAATAGAAAGTAAATACGATATTAATATGATATCGTTCCAACATTAATTCAATATCAATATGATATCGTAAAGATATCACTTTATAATTATCTAATCGACATCATAACGATATTGACGAAACATCAAATCGATATCATATCGATATTTCGATATTGTTATAACAATAATGAAAAATAGAAAGTAAATACGATATTAATATGATATCGTTCCAACATTAATTCAATATCAATATGATATCGTAAAGATATCACTTTATAATTATCTAATCGACATCATAACGATATTGACGAAACATCAAATCGATATCATATCGATATTTCGATATTGTTATAACAATAATGAAAAATAGAAAGTAAATACGATATTAATATGATATCGTTCCAACATTAATTCAATATCAATATGATATCGTAAAGATATCACTTTATAATTATCTAATCGACATCATAACGATATTGACGAAACATCAAATCGATATCATATCGATATTTCGATATTGTTATAACAATAATGAAAAATAGAAAGTAAATACGATATTAATATGATATCGTTCCAACATTAATTCAATATCAATATGATATCGTAAAGATATCACTTTATAATTATCTAATCGATATTGACAAATAACGAAACGATATCATTTTGATATTGTTATAACAATAATGATTTTTTTTTAATAAATGCAATATCAATATAATATTATTTTAATATTAATTCAGTATCAAAATAATATCAAAATGATATTATCTATAAAAATCAATCAAATATCGTTAAATTCAATTTTATAATATTTTAATAATTTGTAATCTAATTTAAAAGTTAATTTCAATAGATTTAAGTTACCGGTTATTTATTACAATAACAATTTTAATTACAGATAAAGTATACATTAGTTTAAATATTATATAACAGATAAAAAAAATATATAATAAACTAATTCAATAAATTAGAATTATGAGTTAAATTGGTGATGTAAGTCAAAACATTATATGCCTTAATACTCCAGAATCATAACTCATAAACCCAAAGTTGAGGATTAACTGGGTACCTTGCTTTAGATTCAGCGACAATACCCAAGTTGGATGGGGTGTCACAGGTACGCTTTAAGAAGACTCGCTACGACTCTATTGCAAAAAGGATAAGTATATTCGAAAACACCAGAAATAAATTCACCTCAGAAGTTTGGCGGGAAACCCCTGTAAACAACTGCAGTTTCATCATTACCAAAATCATTGAACTTAGGGATACAATGAAAAAGTTCATAAGAATGACGGCTTTAAAAAAAAAATACAAATATATTATCAACTTTGACAATTCACCCTTATTCTTTGGCCTGGAATTCTCATATGACTGCATTATTGTTGTTTGTAATTTGATCCATTGAATCCACCATAAATTACCTGGCAAAGCGAACTTTTATTAGACAACCATAGCTTCATCAACAAACGTTGCAATGTGTTTGGA